CTTTGTTGTAAGACTTTGATTGAACAACTTGTGTTATTCTTTTGCCAAATATCGTATTATGAGATTTGGATTATGCAGATTTTTGTTTGGAGTGTGCATATCCTTGAGATAGTTCATACCATGGGAGTTCCAAACCCAACGGCGCGCCGAGGGAGAAACCGCGCGAGCGACGACGCGCGCCGCACCGGAACCGATCGGATCGCACGAGGCGGCCGAGTTCTGGTGGGATGGAGCCGGAGAGACCGGGAATCCAGGGGCAAAGCTACTCTTTTCCTTTTCAAAAACCTCGCCCTTCCCTTCCCCTCCCCTGGTTCATCTCCCCCTGTCCCCTTGCCGCGCCGCGCGACTCTCGTCAATCATCGATGGTTCTCATGGCGGCCGCCTCCGACGACCATCACCACCGCCGCCGCCATCGTGCGGCGAAACGCTCGCTGACTCCGCCCCAGCCCGAGTCCCCGTCCCCGGCCCCAGCCCCACTCGATTGCTTCTCCTTCACCTGGGGCGTGCGACGCCGCCTCCGCTGCTCCAAGGACGGCGCCCCCGTCACCGCCACCGCGTTGCCGTCTCCTCCCCAGCAGCCGGTCACCCCGTCGCCGGACAAGGAGAAGACGCCCCAGGGCGACGCCGCAGGCTCCTCCTCCCGGCCGCAGCGGTCCCGGTACCTCCGCCCGCTCCGCTACACCGCGACGAATCCCGCGTCCAGATCAACGGACGCCGGCGCGGGGCAGGCGCTCCACTCGCCCGCCTCCGCGCCTCCGGCGCCGCCGACGGAGCCGCAGCAGCCTAGGAAGAGGGGATTCGCCGTCGCCCTCACCAAACAGGAGATCGCCCGGGACTTCGCCGCCGTCCGCTGCAAGCGCCCGCCGCGCCGCGGCAAGAAGCGGTCCAAAGCCCAGCAGGCCAAGATCGACGTAAGCATCCGATCCCCAACTCACATGCGATTCCTTCCTTCCTCATGCAGGCGCTGTGCATTGATTAAGAGATCTATCTTGGGTCCGCCTCGGTGTTTGATTAAGAGATTCTCGCTCCTTGGATTGGAACTGCAGGCGCTGTGCCCGGGATTCTTCCTCTCGACGGTGGACCTGGACAACTACAAGATCGATGATAACAATAATGTAAGACGCCGACCCATCAGTTAGGCTGCTGTTTCCAACAAAGTTGGTTCTTTTTCTTCACGTGCGTTTGTTTTCCTCTTGCAGAGGTGATTCATGGCTGCCGTGATGAAGCTTCAGACGGGAGCAACTTCTCAATTGCTCCCTTATCTTTCTTCCTGTGATGGCTAACATGCCCTGATGCCCATTACTGAATGGTGTTGGTTCTTCTGAGGTAGAGGACAGCAAATTGGATCTAGTTAGGTTCCTTGAGTGGTTTTGTATACAGATTTCCCGTTTAGAAGAGCTGCCAGAACGATGGGAAAGTTTATGCTTCAGAGTGCTAGCTATGTCGGTTTGAAGTATAGTTCCTGCAGCTTGTAAGAAATGATAATATTCTTATATAATGGGAAGCAGCTATGTTTTGTACATTTGTTAAATTATCAAATAGCGTTGGACATGGCTAATTGGAAGTGAAAGTAATAGGTGCTTTATACTTGTGATATAATAATGCCTGACTAACCATGGCCTCTCTATTTTTCAGCAATAAGTGTAAATCAGGGAAGAATACAAGCAAATTATCAGACAAAGTTTGCATCTTGACTTATCTCCTTTCATGTGTAATGTTTCTGAAAGTTTTCTTTCACATTTATTGACCAATTTTCCTTATATTCTTCAGTTTTTCTGTTCACGTTTTCAAGCATTTTCTGATATATTGCTGCATGACATTCTTACCTTCAAAATGCTTATACTTGTAGATGTGGTGTTACATTTGTTGTTTCAGACATTCTCACCCGCCATCACCCTGTTTTACAGTAGTTGGTTCAGAAAAAAAAACTCGTGAGTATGACAAAGCATTCTGGTTATGAAGTGTTCTTGAGGATGTTTACATGTTTGTTGAGATTGTTCTCATTCAAACACTGATGGAAGATAGATACTCGTTAGCTCTTAGCGGCATAGCATGACTCTTTGGCAGGCATCTCCCTGGCCCAACTTAGCTCGAGACCAGGTTGTACCAATCTCCTGCTTATCTGTGTCATGTGTACAAAAGTATCTCCATAGTTATCCATTCATTTCCCTTTCCTTATTTCACTTTTCTTGTTCATGCTATCTTGCATTTTTCAATATATGAGGAAGCTGGTGCATGCGATTATTGCTTTGATTGTAACATTGTTATGCCAGAGTTTTCATAACGCTATTCTGTTTTGCAGAAGAGCTGCTATGTTCAGCAGTCATCACATTTTTGTAACAGTGTTTATTCGTTTGACTGAACCTATATTCATCGAGGTGAACACAAATTGATTCCTAGTGTTCAAGAGTACATCACCGCTTGTATTTTTTTTTTCTATATGTGTTTGCACATTTACTCATTCAGCAATTCGACATGTTATCAAATCTGTTTCTGATAGGTAATTTGATGAGCTTTCTGTCGATAAGGTTTTTAATCATATTTTTTATGGACTGTGATGGTATAAGGTGAATGTCTTTTTTGGTTTTGAGAACCATATCCTGGTATTCTGACGATGTAGATGAGCCTGAGAATTTCCGTCTTGTACCTCTTGGTTTATAATCAGTGCGGGGTACTCATAATCGACCCTTTTATGAGAGATTGTTCCTATGATCGACCTGACGATAATGCTTCATGTTGCAAATGTTGAATTCTTGACCCCCATGTTGTGTTGTGGTTCCTGTGAGTTTATCCATCATGTTATGTTCTGTGCTGCAGTTCTCTTGAAATGCCATACTGAACCTGTTCAGTGTTCAAGAAGCAGCCTGAAAGCTGCTGCTGTGTCAACCTGTTGACAGCATTCATCAGGCCGTACATGGTTTGTCGCCCAACATGTCCTACTCCCAGGTCAATGCCATCTGAACTGGTTAACAGTTACTCCCTCCGTTCTAAAATAGATGACTCAACTTTGTACAAAGTTGAGTCATCTATTTTGGAACGGAGGGAGTAGTTGTGTGCTTCTGTTCAACGGTTGTGCGACTCCGACAGTGACCGCGGCTCAGTGAGGTGACCGAGCACCAGCTTGGGACAAATGAAATGTCGTGGACCTGGACCTGGCGCTTCATTGTACGACGCCATGTCAGATGAAACACCAGCTTTAATATTACTTGGGCAGGAGACATGTCATATATAAAACTGGACATGGCTAATAGGTGCTTCATACCTGTGATAGAATAATGGCCGACTAACCGTGGCCTCTCTATTATTCAGCAACAAGTGTAAATCAGGGACGAATCCATGCAAATTATCAGATAAAGTTTGCATCTTGTCCTAATCTCCTTTTATGTGTAATGTTTCTGAAAGTTCTCTTCTACAATATTCATCCATTTTCCTTGTCTTTCTTACTTCTCATGGTCACATTTTCAAGCATTGTTTTTTGATGTATTAAGAACATTTGTTGCATGCCGTTCTCGCTTTCAGAATGCTTATGCTGGCAACTATGGTGTTACATTTGTTATTTCTCTGGTCTGCATTTATGCTTTACGAAGGAGGTGGCATGTTCAGTAGCCATCGCCCTGTTTAACAGTGTTTGGTTCAGACAAAAAGTTCTTGAGCATGACAAAGCATTGTGGTTATAAATTGTTGTTGAGGATGTTTACATGTTCCTTGAGGTTGCTGATGGAAGATGCATGGTTAGCTGCTCTGTTCCTGGACCGACTTACCTCTGCCCTGCTGGAGACCAGGTTGTATTATCTCCTGCTTCTTTGTGTATTATGTACATAAGTATGCCAATAATTATCCATGCCTTTCCTTTCTATTATTCCACTTTTCTTGCATTTTATTTGTATGCATAAGGAAGCTGGTGCATGCCATTCTTGCTTTCATGACAGTAATACTGATTACAGTGTGATGTTAGAGTTGTAATTTCTCTGATCCGCCATTCTGCTTTGCCGAGGAGCTGCAATATTCAGCAGCCATCCCATTTCTGACAGTGTTTATTTGTTAACTGAACTTATGCCCATTCTTTTACTGGAGCTGAACAAAAAATGACTATTGGTGTTCAAGAGTACATTGCTGCTTCGTTTTTTTTCTCTATGTTTGCACATTTAGCGATTCGACATCTTATCAAATGCAATTCCAGAGTACATTGTCGGTTCAGATTATCACATTTGATTATAGGTCCTTTTAAAGATTGTTTCCATGATTGACCTGACGACAATGCTTCATATTGCAAATGATTGATTCCCATGTTGTGCTGTGGTTGCTGCGAGTATCATCAAGTTATGTTGCGGTGTTGCAATTGCGCTTGCTCAGAAATACCATACTGCACTTGTCCACGTCATTCAGAAGTCTTGTTTCCATAACGCTAATACTGATCACAGTGTGATGTTACAATTCTTATTTCTTTGATCTTCCATTCTGATTTGCAGAGGAGCTGCAATGTTAATCTGCCATCACACCTAATAGCAGTGTTTATTTGTTAACTGAACTTATGCCCATCGTTCTATTGGAGCTGAACACAAATTGATTATATTCTCCAGAACACGCAAAAGGCCTGAGTGTCATTATATTGAGTGAAAGGAGAGTTGTACACAAGAGGGAGAGTACACTGACAACACCAAAAACATCACCGCTTACATGCAAGCTCACATCCACTCGACGCCCTGCTCAACGTATCTCTCTGAAAACCCTGCCACTGCTTGCTTGCCTATCTAGCGAAAAGTCTGCACGAATCTTATTTGCCACTTCTGAAGCCAAGCTCTATCATCTTTGATCCATTATTAGTCGCAGTTTGAATCGGAAAGTCATGTGCGCCGGTTGAAGCGATTTAGAAGTTACATAGTTGGACTGCTAATCGAAACTCATTTGGTGAACCTGTTGTAGGACAGCTGCTGCTGCTGCTGTCGAGGCCAGAGACGCGTCTGAAATTCCCAGGTAGGTCATCCACGACTCTACCAGGCTTACCTGTAGCTGTGGACTGAAAATCTAATGGACACGCATGGCACTATGCTGTGTTGAGCCATTGCACACCAAAGGATCACAGGGGAGAGGGTGCCACTCACTCAACAACAACAACAATCACCAAATTATAATAGCCTCTGCTGTGTTACCTGAATGTTGTCACAGGACAGGAAGAAGTGCAATTTGACATTTCAAAAGAGGAAATAGACAGCACAACTGCAGCACCGTAACATAACTGATGAATGCTCACGTAAACCACAGCACAATAAGGGCAACCAGTGACGTCTCATTTGCAACATGAAGACTTAAAAAAGGGTAAATAAATGTGGCAGTGATAAATCATGCCGATTATCATGTGAGGAATCAATATTAAATGGGTGTAAATAAATGTGGTAGTGATACAGTGGTAAAAAGTGAAAAGAAACAAATTAGTCTTATTTGAATGGATCGCTCTCAAAGAGAAGAAAATGTGGCCGGACGGTTCGATGGAGGCTTGTTGTGGCCGGCCTATTGGGTCTCGGCGCTGGGACCGGCCAGGGGTGCGGAAGGCCGATCCTTTCCGCCTGTCTCTGCGGTTGGGGTAGCGGTGGGGCTCGGGGGACGTGGTGTCAAGGTCTTGGATTCCGGGGCGGCGGCCCTGGTGGTGGTGGCACAGTGCTCCTGGGCAGAGCTCGTGCCTCGGTGCTGCCCGGTTGGCACGGCCATGTGGGCGGCATGGTAGCCGGGGTGTGGCGTTCGGTGGCGGTGAGGGTTGGCCGGGGTGAAAACCTACTCTATCTTCGGACGGACTGGCGACGGCGTAGATCGCTCCCTTCTTGAAGGTGTCGTCGCGGCTATCATTGCCTGTCGTGTTGCTCCAGGGGAAACTCTAATCCTTGGATCGGACGGTGGTGGCGTTCCGGTGTTGTATCCTTCTTGAAGGCACCGCCTTGGAGCCCACGGTTCGTCATATGCGGCTTCACTTCTTCGCGGTCGTGTTCACGGCTGAAGCCCCCGGCGGTTCTTGTAGTGCTAGGGAGTGTGTTGCTGCACTCAGCGCCTATGTTTCCAGCCTTGGGTGTGTGTGCGTTTGTGTTAGGTGAGTGTGGTTGTATCAGGCACTGTTGGTCTATGCTTTATATATAAAGCGGGGCGAAAGCCTTTTTCGATAAGAGAAGAAAACAATCAACGCCTTACCGTTTATATGAATTTGTAGCAAGTCCAC